ACAGAGAAGTCTTGAGCCCATGCGCAAGGGCTCTCATGGCACTTGAAGAACGCGGCGCGTGGGAGAAGGAGAGAGTGGCGACTGTCCTCAAGACGATGGTGGACAGCACACATCCTCTGCGTCAATTCAAGCCGCAAAGCGAGCGTTACTCTGTCATCAAGCTGATAGACTTGCTCATAGCAAAGTATAGAGAAGGTACCACCCAATTTTCCATCCTCTTGCAATATCATCTAAAGTGTCTTAGCCGTACACAGCCTACACCAGGCGTCTCCTGAATTCTTATCCCGCTTCATCTCATACTTTGATGGCGAAAAAGACCCCCGTAACCTGATGGTCGTCTTTTCGATTCTCAAAGTCCCCATGACCGAGTGGACATTAGGCGCTGACGCTCAAGTGAGTATCAACATGCCCTTATGTACGCTCGGTATTGACTCGCAAAGGACCTCTTTGACGCTGTGTTCAACTACTTTCCCATCACGTTCAGGCCGCCACCAGACGATCCCTATGGCATCACTGCTCAACACCTCAAAGACCGTCTACGAGAATGCATCTCCTCCACAGCAGAATTTGCCCCGTACTCCTTCCCCGCGCTTCTCGACAAGCTGGACTCGACGTCTCTCAATACCAAGGTACACAATAGTACACGCAACTCAAATCTGCGACTAACTTATCCCAGAGAGACGTTCTCCAAACTCTGACTGCCTGCATCCGGGATTATGGGCCGCGAACAGTGTCTCTGTATGCAGTGACGCTCTGGGACGCTCTCAAATTTGAAGTCCTTAGCTCTCAGGAAGACGACCTTGCTGAAGAGGCCTTGCAAGCCATTGCTGAGATTGCAAAACAGCTGTCGCAAAACACTGCTGGATCGCTCAACGCCTTCATAAAACCCATTACCAAGGAATGCAACGAGCATCTGGAAGATGCTCCAACCAAGCAGTCGGCCTCCGCCGGCAGAATCCTCCATGCAATCGCCAGAGTGTCGCCACAAGTAGAAGACGCCGTGCTCAGTGCAGTGATGCCGACCTTGTTCACGCTTTATCAAACAGCGGACAACATGGCCAAAAGAAGAGGCCTCATCGAGGTGCTTGTTCAGTTGATTCAAGCCGACATTGATGTCTACGGGCAGTGGCGACTTGTAGACAGCAACGTCGTCCATGCAGGAGCACGCTCGCCGGACAACGCGCTGCTAAAGTTTCGAGACCAAGCTCTAGAGGTCATGAGCAACGGTCTTGTGACCGCTTCTGTCAAGGAGGTCTCTTACCGTCTAGCAGCACTTGACGGCCTGTTGCAACTCTCCAAAGCCAGACTTGTCTTGGATGACAACGACATCACGAAAGTGATTACTCTCTTCCACGACGTTGTCATTTCCGAGGAGTCGTACGGAAAGGACGATGTCAAATCTGCAGCCATCACAGGGCTTGTGGAAATCGCCCACCAACAGCCCCAGCTGGTCATCGACAAGGCGTTCCCAGCATTCATGGCCGAGCTGCCAGACAAGGACACGGAAGGCTCAGAGGCATACGTGCCAGTTCTTGAAGCTTTTGCCAAGTTGGCCTGCGAAGAACACATCTTTTCTACCGTCGTCCTCAGGCTCAAGAACAAGATCAACAGTGCAGTTCATCAGGGCTCGTCAAAACAGTACATCATCGCGCTCTTGTCCGCCTTACTTTACGCCTTTTCTCAGGGTGCTGCCAAGCTTCAGGGCACTGATGACTATTGCCCGTACTTTGACGACATCATCGTTTCCCTCCTGTCCCAGATTGACGGCCCCGGTCCTTCTCCATTTGACGATGAGATCGCTTTGGATATCATTGGCCGCCTGCTGAACAAGATCTTGCGGGAGCAAACGTCTGAATTCCATAAGTCTCAAGTGGTCCCTGAAGTATATACTCTTCGAGCTGGACAGACTCTGGCACAAGTACCACCCTTCAAGATTGATGCATCCGCGGAGCAGCGACGGAAACTCATTGTTTCTACACACATCTTGGCGGCAATACGCAAGGACGTGCCGCCACCTGCGGAACCAAAAGACCTCCTTTCAGCTCTGATGTCGATGGCAGCGCTCGACGACCTTTCGTTACGGGTACGCCTCGCAATCGGTTCCCAAATCTCTCTTGTTGTGAACAAAAGCATAAAGACTCCGGACCTCAAAACCACCATCGGCGAGATTCTCTTTGACCCAACCAACCTCATCTCCCCAGAAAAGCTTTCCAATGCCAACATCCGTATCCTTTTCTCCATCATCAAAGGGCTTGCACTACGCAACGCACCCATGCTTAGCACAGTCATGCCCTCGCTGCTGGCACTGCTTGTCGACTCAAAGCATGGACTGACCGTCGCACGCGGCTTCACCTCGCTCCTCGCTCCCGACGAGATTCTCTCCAAGCCAAACCACTGCACCATTTCTGGACTGCACAAGCAAAAGATCTTTAATCTTCTGGTTCCAGCCATCGCTACATCCTTCAAATCTGCCGACCCTTCGAGAAAGACGAATTACCTCATTGCACTTTCGGGCATAGTGCGTTGGGTTCCTTATGAGATTGTTGAATCGGAACTGGCGAATCTCAATCCCCTCCTGCTTCAATCTCTGGACCTCCCGGACGCTGTCGAAGACGTCAAGCATGCGACCATCGACACGCTGAAAGCTGTGCTCACCCACAACCCCCGCGGATTGGAAGAGCATGCATCGAGCCTGATTTCGCGTCTACTTAACACGGCGACCGCTTCGATCAAGACTGCAGACGGAAATCTCAAAGGCAAATTACCAGCCAATCCCGCGGCTGTCAGGGCAGTCTCGCTCAAGTGCCTGGGCCTAGTCCCGGAGAAGCTGCGAGGCGAAATCGTGTTGCCGTTCCGGAGGCAGGTCGTCAAGAAGCTGACTGCCGCGCTCGACGACGGTAAAAGAGCGGTCAGACTGGAGGCAGTGCGTTGCAGGGCGAATTGGCTGGGCCTCGACGAGGTTGGCGACGATGACGAGTGATTGATTCCGCAGCTTCATCAGAAAATCTGTGGCGCTCTTGAAAAACACCGAATCAATCTCCATGACCAGACAAACAACTCCCGCAATCCTGTACCGAGGCCGACTTCTAGCACTCCCCATTCGTTGTTTCCATATTGGCAGCAGTAGACTTTTGGCACAACTCGACTTTTTCGGTAAAACAACTTTTTGGTAAGCGAGGGGTCAATCGGTTCGGACACGTGTTGGATGAAGGCAATAGATTCGCTGAGAAAGGCACACTGATGGGTGGGGACTTAGATTCAGACGAGACTTGAAGAATACATGGAATTTCCATTCACCCCGTCCCTGACGGTGACTTACACTACCATGATAAAGGGAGGCTCCGGGTGGCCTGTGGACAGGGTCGTGCCCACGCGCGAGGGTTTGGTTGAGGTGTTTTGGTAGCAAGACGAATTCTGGTTGTGATTCTTAACGCAACCATGCCAAGCATTAATGGTTAAAAAGGAGCGCCCGTGGACCCAAAGTCACCTCCATCTCAACCAGAACGACTAACAATCTACATCTGAGGAGGTATGTGCTCTGTCAGGGCTCTGGCTGTCGAAGCCACACGAGCTGTCCTTCCCCCATTCAGTGCCGAAATGCAGTCCAGAGACTTACAGGCTGCGCAGATGGGTATCAAGGATCACTTCGAACGGCTCCGCCGAAAGATCCACCATGTGTCTCCTCCGAAAAGGGAACATTCGCAGCAATCGACACAAACACCGATTCTGCCTCGCAGCAGGCTAGAGCAACTGCCAGTCGAACTTCTCGTCGAAATGGGCAAGTTTCTCGACGTCGAAGACGACATGGCGCTCCGTGCAACGTCCAGGACACTGCACAGCGTCCCGCCGAAGTTGCCGAATAAGCCTCCTGACATTTTTGAGATTGGACAGATGGCCAAACGCCTATGGTGGGACGATGTCTGCGCGCTGCTCGCGGACATGCCTCCTGGATCCCGTCTGCGATTTTGCGCGCGCTGCAAGTTCTTCCATCGAAAGGAAAATTTTTCCAAGGACCAACTGCAGAAGGACGACTGGAATCGCGCCTGTCGAAAAGACTCGTACCAGCGGCTATTCCGAATATGCGACCACATGGCACTGGACTACTACGAATTGCGCACAATGCAATTTTGCCGCGTGAGAATCACTTGCAGTGAATGCAACGTCAGCAGCAACACTTTCATCAGGGGATACCGAATCAGGTTGATATTGAGAACCATACGCAAAGGCAAGGCAAAAGGGAATCCTCTAGGAACCAAGGACAGATGTGACGCAGCGCTCTGTCACGAGATGCTTGACGTCTGCTTGAAAGAGGAGCAGACCAAGCCTTTCGACTGGGTGTTTTCGTTGGAGTTCAGGAGCCAACCCGGAATCAAGTTCTCGTATTCTGCCAGCAAGCTATCCTCGCATACCGCCGCTTCGCCGGACACACTTTCGAAGGCTCAGTTCCGCAACAAGGTCCTAGATGGACTAGAAATTCACCCTAGATGGCTCCATGTTGTTGCAGATACAAGGTTTGGAACCTCTCGACATGAGTCAAGATGGAGAAAGAGCAAAAAGGGAAAACTTTGTTGAGCTCCCAGCCACATCGCGAGCGAGACTTCACCAAGGCGGTGGCACGGCGATTGCACACCGACATCTCCTGGACCAACTGGTATAAGGGCCAATCTTCTTAACGGTTCCCAATGCGGATAGCTCCGTCCCAAGGTTCAGCTGGGATTCGGACCAATGAAGTCATAGCCGGACGGGCAAATATCGTTATTTGCTATTGTTTGCATCAAGCCTGGACTACTTGATCACTTCCTTCCCAACAACAAAGGAACCCGTCCAGTTTCCGAGTTTCCATTGGTTGAATTCCGCGCTATGGCCATCATCCGACTTGTCTTTTTCACTTCTAGACTTTCGTCGCAATATGGGGTTTAAGACTTGCTTGGACCTGAGGCGTCATCTTTGCAGTCTATATTCAAAATTTGGTTCCTTTGTCCCAACAATCACAACAGCAAGCGTTGGTGGTTTAGTGGTAAAATTGATCGTTGCCATGAAAAGTCAGCTTGAGTATTTCAACACCGTCCTTTCCCTGCCTCGATCAGCCCCGGGTTCGATTCCCGGCCGACGCATTCATTTTGCTCGTTTTCTCTTTTCTAGAGTTATACGATGGTTTTGTTGTGTTGTGGGTTGATGTTTTGGCCATGAGGTGGCCTGGGAGCAATTTGGTGGAGAGGGGGCTCCACGGCCCGAAACCGGGTTGGAGGCCGGTGGAAAGGTGACGGACCGAGCGAGTGAATGTACTGAGAGTGTATTACTTCTGTCTTTTGCCGAATTGCGTGGACGAGATCGCAGTGTGGGCATTGACGAGGTCTGCACTGATAATGGCACTTGTTGTGTACGGAGGGAGGCGACGAGTGTTCCGCAAGGCTTTCGACGGAGAACCAGAGGCGAGTGTCGAAACTTGAACTTGATCTTCACGGTAGAAGTGCTCTCGCGAAGCGCTGACAGAATGCTGGCGTCAACGTTGCACGACGCAAGGGATTCAAGCGAGACGCATGTCTTCGTAGCACGCGAGCCGATCTATGATTTTGACACTGGCCGATGTCCAGGCGGGCTTTAGCTAGCAACGTTAGCAAGCAAGTGGGACGGACTAGTTGTTGACGGACTCGATTTATTTTTAATGACAATTTTTGGTTTTTTTGATTTTCGGGACGGACAAAGTCTTGCAATTGTAAAAACGTAGGACAAAGTAAAGAATACTACGAGTCTCTTGCTTGACTGCACACAAGACCAAATTGGGCAAAGCAACTGGGAGCAGCGGAAGCATTCGAACAGCTTGTCGATTCGTCATTGGAAGACGGAGCTGACTGGCAACAAGATTTGGTGATGAGAGCACATGGGGAGCATTCACACGCCCCAATTGGCAATGACCACGAAGCATGCAAGCCATTTCATATTGAAGTCTTCAAAAGTATTCAATCAAACACAGTCCAAGGAGAGTTCAAGGCATGCTGCGAAACCAGTTCTAAAGACAATCCTGGGAATACCCAACCAAGTCTAATGGATATCTTCTAAAAGCCAACCTATTCTAACCATGCTAATATCGATATGCTTTCGTACCTCTTTACTTGTTTGTTATGCCATAGCCTGGCTCCACGCCTCCCATCCTCGCCACCTCTACCAAATTCTCGCAGACCAATTCCACGTCCTTGCTCTTGATTGGGACACGGTGGTCGCCGTCCCACTCGACAACGATGCTGCGGTCCTTGGGGCAGTAGTGTTCGCTCAGCCGTCTGTGCAAGTGCAGGCCATTGTCCTTCAAACCATGCACATGTAGTGTAGGTACCGTGAGCTTCCATTCCCTGGGCACGCCGACCAGTCCCTTGGTGCCGTCGTCGCACTCGCCGGCATTCTGGAACCACTCGCACTCGGCTCCTGGAGCCAGCGAAACCAGCGGGGCGCGTCCGGCCATCAAGACACCAAAGCGCCAGTCTTGCTCCCAAAGTAGCGTCTTGACGCCGTCGCCTTCAAAGCCCTGGACCTCTTCAGCTCCGCCGCCGCGCTCCATTATTGCTCGCCGCCGCTGCGACTCGAAGAGCATGCTGGCCGCAACCTTGGCGCCCTGGCTGAAGCCCATGACGCCGACCCACGCGCCGTCCGCACCCAGGCGGTCATCCTCGGCCATGGCCGCCTCAATCTGGTACCGCACCTCCTCCACAGCTGTGCCAGCGTCGACCTCGGCGTGTTCGTGCGGTAGCCAGCGCAGCCAGCGCCGGTAGGGGCCTAAATCGGCATATACGGGCACGATGCCTGGTCCGGCCGAGCAGAGAAAGGGTCCATCGGCGAAGACGAGCCGGAATGATGTGCGGAGGCGGTTGAGGAGGGCGCGGGACTGGAGACGAAAGATCTCGGCCGTTACGCCGCCACCTGTACATGTCTTGTGAGCAGCATGCCCGGCATTGGAGCCATTCCACCTGTGAATCGCGGCGGGGGGAGATTGGGTCAAGAATGAGTCGGAGGACCAAGTCAAGGGACGTGCGGTGGGGGACCTGATGCCCCACTCCAACCCCAGATCCGCAAGAGGGCAGTCGGAGTGTTTGGTCTTGAAGTCGGCGCCTTTTGAGAAACCGAGTTGTTTTCACTCACCGTGTAGACACAGTATCCGCGGCAAGTGCAGATCTGAGTCGGACATGGCGATGGTACCCATGGTTGGCTCAGCAATTGACGAGGTGCGCTGCAATTCGACGACCGTCTTCAAACGGATGTGTGAGCAGTTGTACGTCGGAATGTGGTTGCACAGCGGGTCGATGCTGTTTATGCAGCTGAAAGATTGCAAGGCGGAGCGCTCAAATAGCTTCGTCCCAAACGAATGGCTGCAATTGTCGATATGGTGTCTCTTTCAGTCGCCGTCGCAGCCGAGTGTCGGACAAAGATGATCAGGACAGCGAGCAATGCAGCAAGAAGAGGAATGGACAACGATCTCCATGGCCGGCGACGTCTTAAGTAGCAAGCAGCCTAGCGGCGGTGCTTACCTAGGCGTGCCCTGCATTCCCCTTGTGCTGTCAGCTGTAGTTCGTGTGTCGGACTCCGAACCATCGCCCGCATGGCCCTCGGCCCCCAGCGCAATTTAGTCATGGCCGCTCCACGTGTGCTGCCGACTGGCTACGGGAGGCAACACAAAGGCCGTCCCTGTCGTACTTTGATGTCTCGCCATGTTGGGTTGCTGCCGGGCTTACAACATCTGCAGGGCTGACCTGACCCGATGTGCCCTGCGGCCCACCGCTGCTAGGATCGATGGTGAAGTATTTATATCCACCTGGACCATCAATCGTGGACCTTTGAAGCGCCGACGAGGAACACCACTCACCAGCCATGGCGGCAAGCCCGAGATTTTCAGGAACAGCTACGTCCGAGTTCTCTGGTGAGATCCTATTGCACAATACTCTGTTCTGACGCGGTGCTTAGAGCTTCTTTGGCATCCACTGCTCTCCCTGGCTTGGAGGGCAAACAGTCACCAACGTCACAAACCGAAAAAGACGGACTCTTCCATTCCCGACTTCAGGAACCGACATTTCTATTCCGTCTGCGTCATTCAGCTTCTAGTACTGTATTATTTCTTTGCTTGTCAACTATATTCCTGCTTCCTCTCGATCCATCCAAGCACTTTTGAACTGCTCAATTGTCTATAGAAGCCCGCCACTCACCCCTCCGCCGTCCGCTGAAATCTGCGGAAGCGTTGCCCCCTCTTTACATCGCCAGCCTGCGCAAAGGTTTCCACTTTTCTCTCCATTCAGCGACTCTCTCAATAGCTACACCGCAACCATGAGGCTCGAAACGAAAGTCAACATTGCTCTCTCCATGGCCGCGTTCTGCGCAACAACAATCATCCTACCATCGGCAACCCGCCGCTTCAACACCGCCATAGCTGCCACCAGAGTAGCCCTCTGCACCATCACCAACTGCGAGTGCCCCTATGAAGTCAGTGATTTCCTCGGCGTCCATTACGACGGGGAGGGCAAGAAGACAAGTCTTGTTCATCCGTTCGACTGGGACACTTACCGCAACTCGATGTGGGTGTGTCGTCGGTTCCAGCTGGAGTACGCCTTGGCGGAGGTGCTGGAAGACATGACCGACCTGGACCGCCAGAGGAGAGTCCAGGCGCTGGCGAAATCGCAGTGGTGGCCGGGCGAGGAACAGATGAAGAAGCAGCGGTGCACTCTCTCTCTCTCTCTCTTTCTCTCTCTCTCCTGTCTTTCCTTCCTTTTCTTCCGCGATCTCTGTATTCCCTCCCCTATTTTTCGGCCGCCCTAGTGACTCCAGTGACTCTGCAGCAATATAAACCACGTTCCCCCGGCCTGGAGGTAATAACGCAGCATCTTCCAACCCCTTAAGCCTCTAGAAGCAATCCTCTACCACTCTGCCTTGGGTCACTTTCCTCGTTTTCGTCGATTCATTAACACAGTGCCTTTTCCCCCCCCCTAACAACCAAATAAACAAGACAAAGTTAAGATGGTCACCACTGTCCTCCTGCTCCTCCTGCTCCTCCTGTTCGCTCTTGCAGCGACAGCATCGCCGCTGCTGCCCATCAACGCAATAACCACCAGCGAGCACAGGAAGTCATTGCCTGTCGACATCCATCTGGAAGGAGCTGTCGAGATTGCTTCGGTGGACAAGACCCGGTTCATCCCTTCGATCAGAAATGGAAGCGCCACCGACGACGACAGCGATGGCAATATCCAAAATGGCGAGTGCCGCTTCGCCATGGTCGACTTCTTCGAGGGACGAGAAATGGGATGAGGTCTTCGCGTCCCGGCAGAGTTCCGCTGGGGAAGAGATGGCGAAGCGTGTCAAGGGCAGTACGCCATGGCGATGGAACTGGCAATGAACAGCAGTGGGAAAGGGCCGTGGCTGTGGTGGGTAAAGCAGGTACAAACGCAACAGTGCAAACTCAGTGATTACAATTCTTCGTAGGATCATAGGAGAGAGAGAGAGGCTATCGAATAATAGTCAAAGGTATTTAGTTAGAGTAGAAACCTTTCCACCTCGCTCCATCAATCAATCAATCCATCCACCGAGGCAGCCTCACTCCATGTCTATTGCGGACCCCACCATGTCCAACCAACACACAGCAAGCAACTCAAGGACAAAGGAAATAGGTCGTAAACGGTGAAAAACGCACGCGGGGAATCAATGGGAGGGGGAATAGGTAAAAAGCAAAATGGACCAAAGGAAAAAAGGAGGCGTCTACAACATGGGTCCATGCAGGCCGGAGGGGTGGCCTGCGAGACAACCACTACCAGCCAGCCGCGTCTTTTTCAAGCACTTTAAGAAAAAGGTCTAAACCGAGTGGAAATTCTCAACGGTGTGGGCACGCCAAACGCTCGACTCCGTAAAACTGAAATTTTCAACAGTGCGCGCGCGCATCTACTCGTCCTCGAAGAACGACAGGATGGCCTTGACGCCCATGGGACCGAGGCCGTGCGGCGGGTAGCAGACGTAGACGGGGTCCTCGTGGGCTCCCAGCTTCTCGCGGAACTCGCTCTTGTTGGTGAGCTTGAGCTCCTGCGAGATGGCTTGGTAGGCCTTGCTCAGCACCTTGACGCGCGGCTTCTTCATGTTGTGGCCGGGC